CCCCTCCCCCCTCAGGGTGCCGCTCCTTCAGGTGTCTCCCAGGTAGACCCGGTTGAGCCTGCCGAGGTAGCTGTCGACTCGCGTCTGGCTAGGGGTTCTGAGCCTGAGCGTGCGCAGCCTGAGCGTGCGGAGCCTGAGCGTGCGGAGCCTGAGCGTGGCGGAGCCTGGGGGTGCTGAGTCTGGGGGTACTGAGCGTGGGGGTGCTGAGTCTGGGGGTGCTGAGCCTGGGGTTGCCGAGTCTGGGGGTGCTGAGCCTAGGATTACTGAGTCTGGGGGTGCTGAGCCTGGAGTTGCTGAGTCTGGGGGTACTACAGCTGCCTGTGAGACGCCTGGAGGAGCTCCCTCTTCGCAGCAGCTGCGTGAGTGGTACTCGCGGTACTGCAGCCTTCGGCGGGGTGCGTCTCGGGCTCGCGGTGCTCCTGGAGTTGGTGCTCGTGTTTCCCCGCCGCGGCGGGAGCCGCCCTCTTCCCCACAGCTCCGGGAGTGGTACGCTCGGCACATCAGTCTTCGTAGTGGGACTGCTGGTGCTGGGGTCCCCGGGATTGACACTACTACTGGTACTACGGACCCTGGAGCTGGAGGTGCTGCTGCTGCTGGCGGTACTAATGGAGGTGCTGTTACTGCGGGCGGTCTGCTGGTGCTGCTGGAGGTGAGGCTGGGTGCAGAGGACCCGGGCGTTGGGAGCTGCTGCGGGTGCTGCTGACCCTGGTCCTGGAGGTGCTGCTGCTGCTGCTGGCGGTACTGCTGGTGCTGCTGGAGGTGCTGCTGGAGGTGCTGCTGCTGGTGCTGAGGACCCTGCCGCTGGTGACGCTGCTGTCCCAGGCACTCACCTGCTGTCCCAGGCACTCACCAGATGGCACTTCGTCAGTCCACTGCTCCACAGCGTGTCTCTCTCCCCGTCGCCTCCTGCGTCCTCTCTTCCTGCTCTTGCTGACCCGGCGTCCGACTCCCTTCGCGCTGCCAGTCCTACTGTCACACGTCTCCTAGCTACGGTTGTCACTGACCCTATCCTTTGAGTCCGCTGCTGCGTCTGCCTTAGTTGCTGAGCTGGTCGACTTTGCAGCTACGTGTCGTTTAGACTACGCTGCCAGTCTTGTTGCTGAGTCTGAGTCTGTCTGTCCTCCGTCCGTTGGGGGTGACTGTGCCCTTGGCACTGACGTCCTTGAGGACAGGCAGGAGGAGTTTGGTTGCCTTGCTGCTGCTTTGCCCCATCTCGTGTCCATAGCTTGTTGCCCCTGAGGGAGACCCGGATGCACCAGACATCCCGACCCCACGCTCTTACGCAGAGGCGATGGCCGGTCCCTACTCCTCTCAGTGGCAGACAGCCATGGACGCAGAGATGGCTTCCTGGAAGTCCACAGGCACCTACGTCGACGAGGTTCCCCCACCTGGGGCGAACATCGTTAGTGGCATGTGGATTTTCAGGGTGAAGCGGCCACCGGGCTCTCCGCCTGTCTTCAAGGCGCGTTACGTTGCGCGAGGCTTCAGTCAGCGTCAGGGAGTTGACTTCTTCCAGACCTTCTCCCGACCCCGAAGATGACCACTCTTCGGGTTCTGCTGCACGTCGCTCCTCAGCGTGACTACGAGCTCCACTCGCTTGACTTCAGCACAGCTTTCTTGCAGGGCAGCCTGCACGAGGAGATCTGGCTGCGCCGCCCACCTGGCTTCACTGGGTCGTTTCCTCCTGGTACCCAGTGGAGCCTTCCGGCGGCCAGTCTACGGTCTCCGCCAGGCGCCACGTGAGTGCACGACACACTGAGGACTACTCTTGCGGCTCTTGGTTCGCATCCTTCTACTGCTGACCCGTCGCTGTTTCTACGCACCGACACCTCACTGCCGCCGTTCTACATCCTCGTGTACATTGACGACTTGGTCTTTGCCACTTCTGACACAGCTGGTCTCGCTCACGTGAAGTCCGAGCTGTAGAAGAGACACACGTGCACAGACCTGGGTGAACTGACAAGCTGTCTTGGCTTGCGGATCACCCGGGACAGAGCACGGCGCACCATTACCCTGACTCAGTCACACATGGTGCAGCAGGTCCTTTAGCGCTTCGGCTTCACGTACTCCTCGCCTCAGTCCACTCCTCTGCCTACGGGACACTCGCTCTCAGCTCTGGCCGTTCGGATGAGTCCGTAGAGCCGAGTGGTCCGTATCCAGATCTTGTGGGCTGCCTCATGTACCTGATGACCTGCACGCGACCTGACCTTGCATACCCTCTCAGCATCTTAGCACGCTATGTCGCTCCCCCGGCCGTCACCGGAAGGAGCACATGGATGCAGCTAAGAGGGTGTTGCGCTACTTGTGCAGTACGTCGGGCATGGGGCTAGTGCTTGGAGGGCGAGACCGGCCTGTTCTCACTGGGCACTCAGACGCTTCTTGGGCAGACGACCAGGCTACTCAGCGGTCGTCTCAGGGTTACACCTTCAGTCTTGGCTTCTGGCTCGGTCTCTTGGCGTTCTACTCGTTCTTCTTCTGTTCCTCGGCTCCAGCTGTGAGGCTGAGATCTACGCCACGGCCATGGCTGCCAGGAGCTTCGCTGGCTCACCTACCTGCTGACTGACCTGTGGAGAGCAGCCTCGTTCTCCTCCAGTGCCTGTACGTCGACAACAAGGCAACCATTGCCTTGTGTGACGAGCACAGACTGGAACACAGGACGAAGCACATTGCTCTGCGTTACTTTCTAGCTCGAGAGCTACAGCATCGTGGTCAGCTTCGTCTGCGTTACGTGGCCTCTGAGGCCAACACTGCGGATGTGTTCACCAAGGCGCTTCCGCCTGTTGACCATCAGCGTTTTTGCACTCTTCTAGTCTTGTTGCCGACTGGACCTCACTTGCTTACTTCTTGACTTTGTCTGTACTGTGATCACTATAATATATATACCTGCATGTTTACTCTTGCTAGGTTGTGATCATTGTACTTCTTGCTCTATTATAAATTCTGCATGTGAACTGGTCTTGTGACCGCTTGCTTGTGGCTCGGAATTTGTGTGGAATCCTCGAGATCCACCCTGAGCTTGTTTGCCTTGTTTTACCTTGACTGGTCTTGTGACCTCTAGGTCTGCCCCACTTTGCCTATGGGGGTGTGTCAAACATTATATGTTTATGTGGTTCTAGGCTGTAGTGGGTTACACCTTAGGGGGTACACTAGATTAGGGTTTCATATTTGTACTCTGGTTCCTCTTAGTCACATCATTCTCGTTTCTCATTCTGACAAGCAAGACCTCCAGTAGGACCAGTGGTAGGGAGAAGGAGCAGGCAGTGGGAGGCGAGCTGTAACTGTAAACCGTGACTGGACAGGCTGTGGACATCCTAAGGGAGAAGGAGGACCGAGAGAAGGCGGGAGACCAAGAACCTGCTGAAGGAGCGGAACGAAGTACGGCCGCTGCCGTGCAGCAACTCCAGAACCAGCTGAGACACCAGCGCCAGGGCCCTCCGCACCAGCAGCAGCTCTCCAACGCCCGACTCCACAGCACCAGCAGCAAGCACCAGCTCCAGGGTCCTCAGCACCAGCAGCTAGCTCCAACGCCCGGGTCCTCAGTACCAGCAGCAGCTCCGAACGCCCGGGTCCTCAGCACTAGCAGCAGCATAAGCGCCCGGGTCCGCAGCACCAGCCGTAGCTCCAACGCCCGGGTCCGCAGCACCAGAAACAGCTCCAACCTCTGGGGCCGCAGCATCAGCATCACCAGTAGAGTCTCCAGCACCAGCAGCACCACCAGCAGCAGCGGGGTCCGCGACACCGGTCACGCCACTCCGAAGAGTGCAGCGCTGCTCGTACCACTCAGGGATCCGCTCACGGGAGGGGAGCTCCCGGCTAGGAGGAAAAGCACTAGCACCAGTCCCAGTAGTACGCCTGGCTCCAGAGGTACCTCTCCTGAGGCTGCAATACTGGAAGAACCACTCACGCAGCTTCTCCAAGGAGAGGGCTCCACCAGGTGTAGGACCCTCAGGCTCTGGACCTCCAGACTCAGAACCCCCAGACTCCGGACTCTGCGGCTCAGCACCCCCAGGCTCAGTACTCCCAGGCTCAGCACCCCAGGCTCCGCACCTCAAGGCTCAGCACCCCAAGCTCCGCATCCCCAGGCTCCGCACCCCCAGGCTCCGCACCCCCAGGCTCCGCACCCCAGGCTCAGCACCCCCAGGCTCCGCACCCCAGGCTCAGCACCCCCAGGCTCCGCACCCACAGCAGGACGAGAGTCGACAGCTACCTCAACAGGCTCAACCGGGTCTACCTGAGACACACCTGAGGGAGCGGCACCCTGAGGGGGGAGGGGGTCTACGACAGCAGCACCTGGCGCGAGGAAGAGAGGCGGGGGGGAGCGGGGCAGTGCGGTAGGGGAAGAGGCGGTAGTAGGGGACGGACTCGTCAAAAGTGACGTCCTGAGAGGGCAAGACTCGGCGCGAGGTGGCGAGGTAAAACTGCCAACCAGGCGCGTCCGGGACAAAGCCGAGGAAGACGCAGGGAATAGCACGGGAGGAGAGCTTGTCCGCAGACGTATCGCGGACAAAAGCTCGAGATCCCGAGACCCGGAAACGCGACGCATCGCCAACCTCCCCCGTCCACAGCAGTGTGGGCGAGGTCTCCGGCAAGGAGAGACGGGGCCAGAGGTTGAGCTGATGCGCAGCGTACCGGACCGCGAACGGCCACAGAAAGTGGGGGGCGGCCGCATGGATCAAGGAGGTACGGGCGACCTCCATGACCAGGCCAATGCGGCGCTCTGCAATCCCATTCTGCTGTGGAGAGGCCGGAAGCGTGAACGACTGCTCAATGCCGTGCTCAGCACAGTAGGCTGCCAAGAGGTCAGAGGAGAACTCACCACCTCTGTCAGAGTGCAAGCGCAGGACAGTAAAGTCTGAGTGGAAACGCTTGCTGAGCTGGAGACGGGCTCTGCGGATCCAAGGGATCAAGACATCAGGGACCTCACCCTTGGTGCGCAAGGGGAAGACCGTGGTGTAGCGCGAGTAGTCGTCAACAACTATCAGGAAGTACCTCTCCTGACCCTAACCACGGACGCGGGCTGGGCCCCACACGTCCATGTGGAGCGTCTGCAAGGGAGCAGTCGTCGGGGGAAACGAGGAGGAGTGAGGAGCGGCGCGCTGCCGCCCCTCAACGCAGGGAAGACAGGGAGGAGCAGGCGAGGGTGGGAGGGGAGGGAGGACTCTGGGAAGACCGGAGACAAGGTACCGGGAGTGCATGGCACGAAGGCGCTGCACAGACGGGTGGCCAAGTCGGTGGTGCCAGAGGACAGTCTCGTGCGCCAGAGAGCGACACGAGCAGGGGGCAGACAGCTGACCTGACGCGGACGCAGACGCAGACGCAGCGACCTGAGGGACTCAGTGGTCAGTGTGTACAGGTTTGACCCCGGCTGCCGAGTGAAGGTAGCCAAGTGGCGGCCCGTACGAGCACACGTGCAGTGTGTCACGCGCTCGTAGGCAGGGGTGAACTGGTGAACACCCCCCGTCCTGGAGTGCACTACCTGCCACCAAGTTCGTAGAGAACGAGGGGAGGTGGAGACCTGACAGTGTGCTCGACGGGACCGCAGGACAGGAAGGACAGTGGAGGAGGTCGCAATGACCGGACCCCCAGAGGGGTCAGCGAGGGAGACAGCAACTGGCCGAGCAAGCGGCTCAAGGGCAGTGCGGTCACGAAAGAAGCAGCGAGAAGCACCTGAGTCTAGTGTGAAGCTGTGCAGTGCTGCCGTCGACTCAGTACTAGGGGGGGCAGACGCACAAGCACCTAGAGCAGCTGCCTCACCAGCACCTGGGGTAGCAGACACGCGAGTACTAGGAGCGGCAGACGCACTAGTCCTAATGCCCGGGTCGGGCGGCACACATAGGTACTTAGCACCGTCTCCACTAGTAGACATCATTTATATAGCAGTGAGAATAGCATCAAAGTCTAGAGCATAGATATCAATCCCCTTCTTCAGGAGATCAACCCAGCGGGGCAGCTCAGAGGCCTGAGGGAACTGAACACGCCAAGCGTCGTTGAGACGAGCGAAGCAGCGCTGTGTGGCGTGCGGTCCCCCACACGGCTGACCAGTGCGGTCACCAGTGCGAATGACGTACGTGAAGCTAAAGCCACCCCCCCCCCCCCCCCCCCCCCCGTGCTGAGAGTACCACTCACGGACCTCCTGGGGCGACGGAGTGTGCTGCTAGCTCTGGCCACCGCCAGCGCCTCCACGACCACCACCACCGCCGCCACCTCCTCGACCACCCAACCCCTGCCGCCGCCGCGTCCACCGCCACCCACCCCACCACCGCCTCCGCCCCTGCCCCTCCCCCGCCGCTGCCGCCACACCCCCACCGCTACCACTAGCCCAGCCCTCCAGTCGCGCCACTACCCCACCCGCCGCCACCGTCCCCCCCACCGCCTCCCCCGCCGTCACCGCCACCGCCCTTTTCCACCTTTGCCCTTGCCCGCTGCGGCGCGCGCTCGAAGAAGACGCAGTCCCGACCTTCTCTAGCACCAAGGAGGTCGACAGCCGCAGCAGAGGCGACAGAGGGAGAAGGGGGGAAGGAGAACACCCCTCAAGAACG